AAAAAACTTAAATCCGCACAAAACTAAAATCAAAGTGGACAAAAGAAAACGCCAAAGTGAAAATCTATAATCTTTCGAAAAAGGGAAGCCTCCAAGCACTCTTGCCAATTTGAATATTTGGTTAAAGGAGTCTTCAACGACGCTAGAACGAACCTCCCAAGCTATTCTTATCATCTTCTCCGCTTTCTGGTCAAAAGGTGCTCCAGTATTACGAAATTAAACCTTTTTGGTTGATGAATTGCAAAGATAATGGATCTTGTACTGTAAACACAGTTCAATATTGAAGATTGATTATCAGTCATATATGTTGACGTTCATAAATACAGCTTTTCCACAAATACAGCGCTCATCATTCAGCAATTTCATTGATTAAAAGCCCTATCAATCATTACACAATGGTTTATTATTTCCAAACTGGTACATTTCATATGTAACATTGCTAATATTAGATTCTTAATATTAGTAATGTTACTGCCTAACTATAAATGTGGGTATATATATATAATTTTTTTTTTCATCTTAAGTAGTTGGCTAAGAAATATAGAGAACAACCTCGATTGCTTCAGTTAATGAAAGAATTTCAAAAAAGCAAAACAAAGGATATTAACTATACTTATATATTTCATGCTATACTTGTCTGAAATAGGATAAACTTCATGTAAAATACTGATATATGTGTAAAGTGATGATATCTGCATGAGCAACCGGACTAAAATGCATTTTGATCTGAAGATCCTCATCTCATTTTAGAATCTTATGTAATTCAATAGTGTCTCGTGAAGTGTGTAATTCCTTGAATGGGAAAACGTGTTGCTTTAAAATATAAACATATATAATATAAGGAAAAGGTAAAAACATCTGCAAATTTATTACACAGTGGTTTATTATTTTCAAACAGTTATATATATTATATAGCAATACAGTCCATGGTAGAGACCTGTTCTTATCGAATTATTAACATCCGCCTGAAACTTCGTAAATAGTTTCATCTTATCGTAAGCTACAGCTATTTTATTAACTCTTAAAATTAAAACTCTTGGAATTGGGGATTTTCAATCTGGAGGGGAGCAAACTTTCTCTATATAATTAAGTTCTAAAAATTCGTAAATACCCATTTGCTTTCTACTTGGATCGTAAGATAATTTGATTACAAAATCGAGAAAAAAGGTGGCATTCAAAAATATTGTGCCGTTTGTCCTATATCATCATCATATGTGGCACGACATCCCGTTACCGAGACTGGGCCTCCTCCAGGAGCCTCCGCCAGTTGGCTCTGTCTTCTGCTGCAGCTCTCCAGTTCCGTACACCAAGCAGAGTTCTCGCATCATAAGCCACGTTGTCCAACCACCTCGTCCTCGGCCTTCCTACCCGTCTTGCGAGGTGCAGCTCCTCCATCATTATTTTCTTGGGTATCTCAACGGTGCTCATTCTGGCCACATGCCCTGCCCACCTTAATCTGGCCAGTTTAATATACTTGACTACGTCGATGTCTGTATAAAGAGAACTGAGCTCCCTATTTTTTCTTTTCCTCCAGACATCACCCTCCTTTACTGGACCATAAATCCTTCTGAGGACTCCTCGCTCAAACACACTCAGCTTCATCTCATCGTTTTTAGTCATCCTCCAAGTCTCTGAACCATATATATGTCAAAACAGGCCGTACAAGGGTCTTGTATATGATCAGCTTGGTCTTCTTTGAGAGATACCTACTTCTTAAGTGCCGGCCAAGTCCAAAGGTTTGTCCTATATAACCTCTTTATTTTGAAAATTTGGGAATTCAGGTCACGCCAAACGCTGAATGTTTTTGAAGGCCACATTTTTTCTTGATTTTGAGATCAAATTATTTTAAGATCCAAGTAGAAAGCAAATGGGTATTTATGAGTTTTTAGTACTTAATTAAATAGACAAAGTTTGCTCCCCTTCAGATTGAAAACGCCCCAATTCCAAGAGTTTTCGTAAATAAAATAGTTGTAGCTTACGAAAAGATGAAACTATTTACGAAGTTTCAGGGAGATGTTAATAATTCGATAAAAAGGGTTCTATACCAGGGACTACTACTTTCCTTGTAACATAAACAAAAATAAATATAAGGTGATTCTTAATATTGGCCTAAATATGTTCTTTTTTTATCATTCGTGATTCGCTGAAAAACATAGTCAATCTCAATTACTTCAGTTGATGTATGACTTTCTAAACAAACAAAAAAAAAAAAATATTTGCCAAGTAAGGAATATCTTTCTCATCATTTTCATTAGCTACAAATATCTACATTATAAGATCTCAAATTTTTCTTATGAGAATAAAATCTCTAGCAGTAGTGGTTTTGGGCAATTCAATAACCCTCAACATATACCCTTTGATATCCACAAATATTGTCCATCAGCGAATATTAAAATGTGAAAGAGTTCCGCATTTGCAGATTGCATATTTGATGATTCATAATTAAAAGTAAAAATTTCAGTGCATACTGAACATGCACATCACTACTGTTAGTGCAAAAGGTCTTATGTAAACATTTATTAAAAACCATTTAGGTATATAAAATTATCAACCCTTCAAACTATAATGTAAGCAGGGTAATTTTTTTTCTTTTAAAAAAGGAATACATTTATTTCGGTGTGGCTTGTTTTTGACATGTTTTCTTGACACCCTTATATTTGAAAATATGCCGAATTGCAGTTTGACCGAATAATGGAGACTAATCAACAAATAGTACAGTATTCATTTTATTATATTTCATCCACTACTTTTTAAAGTTTTTCGCTAGCTTATACAAATAAGTCTTTGACTAGGATTTGTTTCAAAAATGGCTCCTACAACAAAAAAAAAATACTGACCCTACAAGGCAGATTTTTAATATATTAGATGTGAAACACATAGTAATTAATTGTTTTAAATAATATATTGTACCACCTATGATTTTTACTTTAAGTTACTACCATTTTTGAAGCTGAGTTTGCAATGAAAATACACTTTTTGGGGTAACTAAGACCCGCGAAATGGCCTGTGTGTGATCAGCCAAGCTCAAAAATTAAAACTTGTATTACATATTTAAGATAGGAACATGGGATGTTACACCAACTTTTTCTTGAAAATTCGGCTAACCAGAAGTGCCACTTTATATTATCTATTTTACACATTTTTCTCGAAAATAGCTCAAACGATTTTGATTAAACTCAGTAAATCAATGTATAGTTAAACAGCCTTTAACATCATTTAGGTGTTATTCTCATTGATGCCGCTTAATAGGGCTTTAATACCAAATTTCCAAAATTTCTTCCTTTAAAGTACCTTTAATTTGGTTAAATTAACTGTCTCTCATTTTAAATAGTAATGAAAAAAGGCCCAATATAAAATATTAAAGAATTTGATAATTGACTTAAGGAAAGAAAGAATAAATGGTTTTGTAGGTCAAAAAATAATTTCCAGAAATAATAGTCAGATGGTGTATAATAAACATATCCTTGGAAAGCTAAGAATTTTAGAAAAAAAATATATCTAAGCATACAAATCCACGGAAGATAATGGAGAGTGATGAAAAAATTATAGATAATAATTTCTGAAAACTAATATTATTTAACGGAAACCACATGTTTCCAAGGAAATAAAAATGAAGTTTCCTAACTAAATTTAAACTTTTAAAATTATTTTTAAGTTTGAAAAACAAGTATACAAAGTGAACCGAACCAATGTAATGACACTATTAAAAAAAAACAAAAAAACTATTTCTTGTACTTGTGATAGAAGTGCAATATAAAAATATTTCATGGATGTGTAAAACATATGTTTGTAACCTTAAATACATTTAATGTACTTTAATAACTCTAGATCTGATAATATATTTAAATAATCAGATATCTATCGTTGGTTAATTTTGAAAAATTCAAGGTAGAGCGGTAAGTGAAAGTTGTGTGATGAGTGCACCAGATTTTTTACTTTCACTTAACTGTATATATATATATATATATATATATATATATACCAAGAGAAAGTATTGCGATTGAGAAAATTTACGAATCCAGGTTTTCAACAAAAATACACATTTTGAGGTCTCTTGAGTCCAAATAACCAAGTCCCACAAAATGGTGTGCGTATGTATGTGACCAGTCTAGCTCAAAAACGAAAAGTTGTATGCAACTGAAATTGTGTATTTAAAATTTGTATATTCCTGGGATGTTCCAGCAACTTTTTCCTCAAAATTGGCACTTCATATCAACACTCAACTAAACAAATGAAATTGATAAACAAAAACTTCAAATGAAAATTGAGATTGTCATTGTTAAAAGCATTTAATTAAAGAGGACTTCTGAGCAGCTAAACGAAGCACTGAAAATACTTCTACAGCATGACACTTCTGGCAATACTTCATGCTCAAAAAGTGAAATTTATAAAAGAGTGAGCATACAATGGTTGTTCTTTTAGACATCAATATGCAATATATAATATTAATTTATAAATGTATTTCATCGTGTCAGTCAAAAATGAATTGGGTTGCTACCTTCATTTGTTTTGTTCATAACCAATTGAATAGTGTATTGAAGTATGGACACAATAAGAAGCAGATCATTAGAAATAAAAACAAATAGGAAGTATCTAAGTTGGGTAAATTGAGCTAGGCGGTGTTAGAACTTTAAGAAAATTTATATTTTCAGGTAATGAAGAACTATACACAAATCAGCATAGTGAGTAATTTATTCTGTATGCCATTTTCACATTAGCGCTTCTTTGAAAAGGTGGGTACTTACAGTATTTAAAGATATTTATAAATGAAGTAGAATATGGTTAGATAATACATTTTATATTTATCTAGCAATATGACTACTCTTCAAGAGAAGTTTTGAAAGGCAAAATCCTCAGACAGAATATAACATTTCTAACATATCTAGCAAATCTATGTTATAGTGATAATACAGAAAGACAATTTTTTTTTTATTATAACAGATTAACAAAGTTCAAAATATAAAATCAATATTTTAAAAAATTGGGCTAATTGTAATAATCTACTTTTTTCTTCTCCTTTTGACAACTTGGTTAGGATTTTTCCTCATCCAATACTTAACTTCTCCACCCGGTAGGACACCCAAGACAGCTGCTCGTGAATTCACATCCCTTACAGTGAATGGAGAAACACCTGATGTTCAAATCGCAATAATAAATTAATTATGTAATACATATGTAACGTAGATTATACATATCTACCTTTCATCATTACATACAATAATAACTGTTTTAAAATATATTTAAATTCTAAAAATAAAAGTAGAAAAATATAAAGGGTGATAAACAGTCAGGAAGCAATCAATATATAATTTTTTTTAATTTGTGCCAACGTTTGAACCCAAACATGTGGGTCATCTTCAGTAAACGTCAGTTCAAATAAATAAATTTGAATAATGACTGCGTCCTGACTATTTATCACCCATGATATGTAGAACAGTCGACTAGCTTCCTTCAATAATTCTTTAGAAAAATATAAATAACAGAAAAAGTAGATGGGACAAAAATGGAAAAGAAATAACAGATATTTGATAGTGTGTTATTCCACAACTTAGAATGTACATAAATACTATGGTTATATAGATCAATAATGTTGAAGTTATAATATAGTCACGTTCATATATTGAACATTTTTAAGAAACCTTGAATTTTGATTAGAAATACCTGATATGTATATTGAACAAAATTTCAATATATAAAAATTATATATCCACAGCAATCAAATTTCTTTCTACAACTCAAATTTTCTAGTACAGGGGGTCTTCAAACATCGAAAGGGCGCATAGAGACCACCACTAAGTGTTGCAGACCATGGCTTTGATGAAAATACAAAAAAATTGTTCAATAAATGACATTTAATAGTGAAATGAGGTTTCTAAGAGAAGCAACTGTTTACTAATTTCATATTTTTTTAATAGATTTTTAAATTTTACCATGTGATCAAAAAAACTTTAGCAAGACATAGTTTGGAGATCCCTGATCTAATCTAATTGCTTTTTAACTTCCTGTTATCCGCTCAATGCATTTTAGAAAATAAGTGACAAAGAGATTTGCATCACCAGTAATTAATAAAAAAAAAAAAAAAAGAAAAGAAAAACAAATATCAAACAAATCGAATCAAAACTAACATTATGATGTAAGTTTTTAGTTAATTTTGGCTCTCACTTAGTGGACCATAAGTACATCAAAGAATCCTTCTTTCAAATACTCATAGGTTTGGTTCATCACTTTGTAGAAAAAGTTCACATTTCAGATCCGTACTGCCCTGATTAGTGAATGGCTTATCCATATCCTTATTTTTATAGGTCTTGAAAATGAATTGCTCCCCAGATATCGACAAAGTCATTATAGCATCCATCAACAAAGGCTATTCTTTTTCTTATTTTAGTCAAGTATCATTATTTACTTCAGAGCCCAGGTATACAAATTCACGAACTGGTTCAAATGTGTAAGGCTCAAATGGAAAGAGGATTTAATCAGAAGGCACATTTCTTTAGTGACTAGGAATTTTGCTTTATAATAGTTCACAACGAGGTCCATTTCTTTCAAGAAGGCATCCAAACCTCAAGAAGCCTTCTTTACAGCAGTTCTCAATCTAAGGTACTATTTCGCTGGCGCGGTCCACGCCCGCGACTGCTCGTGGTTGACCACTGCTAAACCTATTTCGCTGGCGTTGCTCGGCAGTATGACATCATATCTAAGCTGCTCCTACCTGACCGCTCCTGAAGCAGTGGAGCTGTTGGCGGTTCGGCGGTTGTAGGTTATGTTATCATATCAGAGCATTGTTTTAATGATAATATTCACGTAGATACGTTTTATTTCCTATGTTTCTTTCAAGTCTGGCAAAATTATAACAAATATTGTTTAAAACTGAAACAATGCAATAGTAAATTATTTTTTAAAGGTTGAAGTAACAAGATTATTTATTTATTCCACCTGCAATATTTTACAGCGAAATACAAATATACCTAAATCCAAACGATATTAAATAAATTAAAGAATCCAATAAATTTTATCGTCAGGTAAATACTAAAATCTACCCATTGAAAAATTGATTTGTATTTATTAATTAGTGGTGATTTACTGATTACTATTGATAAAACTATAAAACATCGCCTGCTGGAATTTAATTACAAATATATGATATTTATTACTAATCAATTATGTATTAATTACTATTACTTTTCAAACTAATAATATCTAATATCAGAGGGACTATTGTTGTTAGTACAGCGTTTCCCGCCTTTTTGTTCTTTTTTGGTTGTTCATCTAGACAATAGCAAACAACATCCAAGAAGGGATTTGATGATGAACATCTCATCGAAATACTGAACAACATTTTCTCTTCTTTTTCCTCCTCAAAAAAAAAGCGGTAGTCAGAGATGTTCATTTTTATTATAATAGGATGTCCATCTTTTTATCTTCGAAGATACAGCGAAATGTTCGAAGGTTATAACAACCCCTTCTATATTATAAGCACTTTCAGCGAAATAGCTACGCCAAAAGCGGTTAGCAGTGTGGAATAGCGGTCAATGTCGTGGACCACGCCAGCGAAATAGTACCTTATACATAGATACCTAAATTATATGCATAACCAAGAAATTAGAATGTTTGACTGAAGTTGGTACCTCTAGACTGAATCCTAGATTCTCTTAGAGCTTTTCATAGAAATAAATTAAATAATAGGCATGCAATGGAGTAGCCTTGTCTAAATTCATTAAGAGCTGTAAATCTCTAAGAGAAATCATCAGTTTTTTCAAGCATATTAGTTTTGCCTATTAAAACTTTTGATGGCCTGGTATTGAGGTCACAGTTAACACTATCGCAAGCTGATTTAAAATACACAAATAAGTGGTGTGTGAGTATCTAGTATTCTCGGCCACGTTCCATAATAATACGTAAGCAGAATATCTGAACAATTTTGAATTTTCCCTGATGAAAACCACATTGATATTTTCATAAGCATTAGGAGGTGCTTGCAATGGATAATGCAGATTTTATAGATGCATGGTAACAACGAAATACCTCAGCAGTTTTATTTCAAGCTTTTGGCACCAACTCAACAGTCCTTATTAATATGATGAGGTTATGTAACACCTTTAGAAATTCCTCTCGACCTTCTTTGAAGAGTTAAGAAGATAGCGGTCTAAGTCTGGGGCTTTGTAATTCTTAAGTATATTTATCGCTTCTTGAACTTCTCCAGGAGATTCTAGCTCATCCGCAGGTGTTCAAGTTAAACCTGTTACTTCTGGCTCGTCATCCAGGAGGAAAGGACTATATTTCATTAAGCGTGTAGTCAAAGTGACAGTCATATCTTTTAAATAATTTATTATTTTCACTGATTAATGATGCATTGACATTCTCTACATAAGGATATTCAAGCCTTGAATAGCTTGCAGCCGTTATTCAAGCTTTGGTAGAATTTTTGGCATTCAGTCGCATTATATAAGTTTTTTATATCTTCCAATAATTTCTTTTCCCACGCTCTTGCCTAAATCAGTGTATAATTTTTTCTGCTTTTTGACAGAGTACATATTTTGAATCATACTTTTATACACTACATTTTTTTTTTTTTTGTATCAATGGCTTGTCTGAACTCTTCGCCATATCATGGAGATCTTTCGCTCTATTTAAAACCGATTGTTTTATTTCTCCACATTTTATTCTCCACTAGTTGACCACATTTCATAAATAACTGTAATCAACGAATGCGGTCTGTTCACTTGATTTTCATTTATTTGTCGGGCGAATTTTATGTATTCTTAAGAGACTTCAACTTAAAAGGCTTGGTTCATTCACCTCTTATTCTGATAACAGAGGAAATCCTGACTCTCACTTGTGGTACAGTTAGGAAATGATCTGTGTCTAAGTTGAAGCCTTGATATGATTGAATATCTGCATATCATATATATTGAATATTATGCCTTGCACTGATCACAAGGTGATCTATTCGGTTAATCCCAAGTAAAGAATATTTTATAATGGTATAAGGATTAACAAATAATTCGAGGCTTGGTGAGATCCAGAAGGAACTCTTGATCCTATCATCGAACCACAAAAATAGAATAAATAATTATCTGCCATCCCCAGAATAAAAACATGGTCTTGAAGATAGTAGCACAGTATATTACTCGATATGCTCTCTGAAATAAATTAATAGAGAAATGAGAACAATCTATGTGAAGAGATGAAACACTTCATCTTCCACACAATTTATTTTGCTGACGAAAAGTCAAGCTATAAATAACTTTTTTTTTGTAAATGTAAAAATTTTCTGAAAAAAAGAATTAATAAATATACCTGGGAGGAGTTCATAAATTTATTTTTGACAAAATTACAAGGCTGATTCAGACTAACTTTTGAATATGCTAAAAGGGAGGCAATGTAATAAACTTAAGAGTTTGCTTTCAGTCTAATATGTTCTTATGGACAAGCTAAAGACATAAATTGAAAGAAAATTAATTTCAATATATTTGTTAATTTTCAAAACTTCCAATAACCATTTATCACTATGTTTTTGTATCTAATTCTATCGAAAAACAATCTATATAATAGAAAATTATATATTTACAGAAGCAAGACATTAAAAATGGGTTTAGTGAGTGATTTGATTATATATATATGGTTCAAGTTAATGATACGGTAGTAGATCATTAATTAATAAATTATAACTAACCATTATTTTGTATGAACTTTTTTAATATAAAAATAAGAAAAACAGAACCTCTACAAGCAATATGAATTTCTGAACAAGACTAATCCGCTGTTCTTTTTTTCAAAGAATATTAAACGTTCTTACAATAAATTCTGTTTGATTTCAAACATGCATAATCAAGTTATAAAGAGGTATAGTATACAGAGAAATAATAAAGTTAAAAATTATTAAAAGCAATAACTAAAATCTTATAAATTAAAAATAGAGATTAAAATAATATAGCTCAAATATAATTTTATAAGGAGGCCACTGAGATAAAGACAAACAAAAAATTAAGGTGTGTGCTTTAGACCACAAGATATAAGTTAAAACATCAACAAGGTGAGATTAATAATATGTTATATAAATTATAAATAATAGCTCATTATAAAGAGGATGAAATGTTGAACAATTCCCTCGCTTACAGTATACAGATCCACTTTTTAGTTTCTGAGATATTTTAATCCATATATTCAATAAAACTCGTTATACTTTGGTTTTTTACACTATCTTTCCCATTTCCTCTCTAATACGGCATCGTGTCAAAATAAAATTTTAAATAATAGCTAATTACAAAGATGATGAAATGACTAACATTTCCCTTGCTAACAATACAAGAATACAGTATATATATATATATATATATATATATATATATCAGATATATATATATGTGTGTGTGTGTGTGTGTGTAGCTATATAAACTACAAGCTGGACAATGTAAAAATATACACAAAACTAAAATTAGAAAGTTTACATTTTTAATGATGTATAGCCATTCACAAGAAAATAGACAAAAAGAATATCAATGACCTCCTTATATAAAAAAAACATGAACAATTTTTGAAATGTTCAGGCTTAGAAAGAATCTGAATGAATATCAAAGTATTCACAGACCTTCTACTATTAAAAAAAAGGTTTCACCTCAATCCAGATCATTCTTGAAAAAGAAAAAGAAAAAAAGGATGTCAAGAAATGAATCGCATCAATAAATAACTAATTAAAATAGTGAAAATGAAAATAAGACATTTTTTAAGGTAGGTTTTTAAAATTATATAATTATTACTGCAGTTACTATTATAAAAAAATAAATGAATAGAATAAAAAAGACATTTTATTTTAAAACAACATATTTAGACGCATGCCCCCTAATTTTTAGGTAGAGTATAAAGATGTGAAATAAATTGTGATAAATCCAAATTTATGATATAGTTGGATAAAATAAAATCAGAGATTCACAAATGGAACAAAAAACAAGAAGTTCTTTTATGGAAGAATTGATCGGTCAGGCAAAAACAGCATTCTTTGTGAATAGTAAATTGAGACAAACGATTCTTAATTTTGACCCAATATTTGACCGGTTATGTAAACTAAAGGTCAAAGATAGATACAGATATTTATTATTGTTTTCCGCATATCCCCCAACAGAAGACGCTGACGATGATATCATAGAAGATTTTACAATGTCCTGGGAAGCAACATTGAAAAAGTGCCCAAATAAGATGCAATTATGCTATTAGGAGACTTCAATGCGAAATTGGGAGAGAAGAAACCCTCTAATCTATGTATTTTTTTATTAAGGATGGTGTGAGGTGGTAGATATATCAGTAAGTAGGATGGTAAATAAAAGTTGTGTAACATCAGATTTTTAAAACTCAATCAGATTTTGAATATCAGATTAACACATCAATATACTATTCCTAACAAAGGAAAAACATACATAATATCAATGTTTTTAAAATAAAATGTCAAAAAAAAATGTTTATTTGAATAATTTCTTAGAATTGTAAAAGTTAAAAATAAATACAAAATAAGATAATATTATACCTGCGATATAGTCTGGTTCTAGGGGATTCATTTTGGATAGGGCTACTTTAGAAGGCCTCTGCTGCGGAACACGCTGATCCTCGCATATAATTGGATTGTTACTGTGCTTTCCACCTTTAAATTTAGGAAGTGGGAACTGAAACAAAAAGTTATTTAGTCAATTATGTATAATAAAGCATTAACTAACAGGCTATTCAATATTTTGTAACTTAAAAACTTATAAATAAACTAAGGCTGTAGCTGAAATAAGGCTCATAAATCCACGTGCTCTTTTTTATGCAGAGTTTCAATCACTTTAACTGAACCTCCCTCTGCATACAACCCCCTGAAGAAGCCCTGCAAAGTCGAACGTTGGCTTTAAATAAAATAATTTGTTGCTATTTTAATCTTTTTCTGACCGCCTCCCCGCACCATCTTCTTACTAAATAATTTATATACTATTAGTAATACGATAATATATGATGGTAGTAAGATAGGCTTTATCCTTCCTACAATCGTAAATATTTTCTTGCATCTCTCCTCTTCAAAATTATCTAATTCCACCTGGGCGTAATAATCAAGCAATATATCGCCTAAAAATCTCTGCCCTATCTATCTTCAATCCCACAGTCCATCATCTGTTCTTGAGTTCCTCCATTTAAATCCCCTATCATAACACCCGTTCTTATTCTTCAGATTTATATACAATGGCCTACTGCACAGCAGCTTTTAACAGGTCTTTTATTATTTGATTTTTCTCCTTTACTTTCTATTGATCCAGTTTTCAAAAAAATTGTAAATTTTTGTTATTTGTTGTTGTTTTGTGAACATTTGTGTAAATTATTTGTTTCGTTTATAGAATTATTATTTCACTTTTGTTTCCATTTCTTTTTTTAATTTAGAAGTTAACTTTTAATGTTTTTTATTTCCATTCGGAGACTCTAGATCTCCTAATTCTATTATTATATATTATTCTAAAGGGTGGCAGAGGGAGTTGGCAGCCCAATCGATCGGTCATTGCACCGCTGATAGCCAGTGACCCTCCAGATTGGGGGAACAGTATACTGACGCACACATTCACACGACTAACAGCACACTACACACATTCCAACATTACAGACCAAGGTCAATAATAGTACTCACCCTAGGATTCAGGAGCGGGGTGGACGAATGGGCTAACAAGTGTGCACAGAACTGCGAGTGGCCTGGCCACCAATCAACCAAAGTTATGAGAGATTAAAAAGAACGATTTCACAAAACAAAAAAAAAAAAAAAAAATAGGACTCACCCTAGCCTAGGGTCTCCAACCCTAGGTAGCCGCCCCTCCACCTGACTTGGGAGCAGCTGGTTGATAATGAGCTCCTCTTACACTATCTTATTAGGAAACCTCACAATCTTACCAGATGAAATAGACCGCTACGGAATTGACATTGATCTTCAAGAAATCTGATGGACTTGACAGGGTCTATTGAAAAGAAAAGTCACACTATATACTACAGTTGTGACAATAAATCACACCACTTTGGAGGAATTGGGTTTGTTGTAGGAAAGAAACTCAGGTAACTCATCATTGATTTCAAGTCTGTAAGCCCTCCCCTCCCCTCCCCCCGAATGAGCTCTATCAGAATAAAAGGGAAATTCTTTAATTATACATTGTTCAGCTGCCATGCTCCGACTGAAACATCAGATGAGCAAACCAAGCAAGATTACTATGATTAAGGCATGTCCTCCTTCAGATGTATTAATAGTCATAGGCGATTTCAATGTGAAGATGGGTAAGGAAGCAATCTATTTCCCGAATATTGTTAAACATAATCAGCATAATGTCTGCAACGACAATGGACATAGACTGATTAACTTTTGTGTATCACACAACCTTGTAGTTGGCAGCAGTCTATTCCCCCACAAAATAATCCAGCTTGGTACTTGGACTTTCCCCGATGGAAATACAATCAACCAGATTGACCACTTTCAAATAAGTGCTAGACATAGATCGAACCTTTTTGAAGTCAGAACTTTTCATAGAGCTAACATGGACTGAGACCATTTTCTAACTTTGGCTAAAAATAAAGCCAGGATCTCTCACTAGCGAAAACAAGGTGAGGACAAAGATGTTAGAAGTTCAACCTACAAAAACTCAAAGAAACCGAAGTCTCCCAAGCATATGTAAATAAAATTAATGAAAAGTTCTCTAAAGTGCCATCTACAGAAGATGGAGTCGACGAAATGTGGTCAAACATTATTAAATTTAAAAATTATTTAAAATTAAATTAAAAAGAACTATGCGGGATGCAGCAGAAGAAGTAATTGGCCCCAGCCAAGTACAGAATAGGTCGCAATGGTATGACGAGTAGTGTAGCCAGGTCACTACACGTAAGAACGAAGCCTACACACTCATGCTTCAGAAGAAACATACCGGAGCATCAGTTGATATTTATCGGCAGTGCCGAAGAGAAGAAAAGCGTATCCATCGATGCAAGAAAAGAAACTGGGAAAATAGAGAGCTAGAAGAAATAGAGAGAGTGAGGAGCATTAATGAATGCAGTAAATTTTATGAAAAAGTGAAAAGTGGTCGAAAGCAGTTCAAATCTCGAATCACAACTTGTAAGGACTCAGATGGATCTCTGTCGCCCAGCGAATCATCCTTGAGCACGGAATACCAGATACAGACACACCATTTATTTGTTGACTTTAAATCTGCTTATGACAGCATTCAACATGAGGCCCTATATCAGGCAATGAAATACCTCAATGAACTGGTTAAACTCATACGGCTTGTAAAACTTACAATTAGCAATATCAAGTGTATGGTGCAGATTCAGTGAGATCTGTCTGAGGGATTCAGCTTTCATAATGGTGTTCGACAGGGAGATTCTCTAGCCTGCCTGCTCTTCAATATTGGTCTGGAAAAAGCTGTCAGAAAATCAAAGGTTAAGACCAAAGGAACATCTTTAATCATATGGTACAAATCCTGGGATATGCTGACGATATCGACATTATTGGGAGATCAAAAGCTGCAGTGGAAGAAGCCTTTCTTGCCCTTTATGATGCTGCCAGGAAGCTAGGACTTGTTAATACTAACAAAACCAAATATATGAATACTAGACAACAAAGAGGTATTAACGAAAGCTTTGTCCAAATTGGTAACTATTTTTTTGAATGAGTTGAGGAGTTTGTGTACCTTGGATCTCAGGTTAATACCACAAATGACGTTTCGGCAGAGATAAGGAGGCGAATAGCATCGGCCAATAGGTGTTATTTTGGACTGTGTCAGCAGAAGCTGCAAGAATAAGATTATATAAGACGCTGATCCGTCCAGTACTAATCTACGCCTCAGAAACCTGGGCATTTTCGAAGTCTGATTAAAGGGATCTCCAAATATTTGAGAGAAAGATACTCAGTTAAGCATCTATGGCCCAGTAAAGGATGGTTCAGCTTGGAGAAGACGGACGAACAGAGAAGTGTATTTGTTGATAATATACAATAGTATACACGTATATACAGCTACTAAAAGCATTTTTTTTTTTTTTAACAGGGCTTGAAGAACCACTCAAATATCATTTTACATATTTTCTGTATCTTTATTACAGAGTAATTACTGTTACAAAAAAAAAAAATTAACAAATTTGTAAATAAATAATTCGTTAAGAAAATTCTATGCCTGTAATACTCAAAGATATAATAAGGAAAACAGGTGGTTGGGACAAGAGTTGACATCATAACATTCGACTGTTCTCGAGGTTTTCATGAATAACTGTGACCGAAGTGATTGTGAAGCACGCTTAATCTGTGCAGAACTCATGTGAACTAGAACCAATTTTTTTTTTTTTTTTAATGATCTTGAAACAAAACATACAGTCAACTTTACTCATTAGATAAGAAGAGTAAAGAATCCCCAAAATATTTTTTTTTAGATTATAGCTCAAAAAATGAAATAATAAGAATGTATTTACTTCAAGTTATCAAGGAGCATTTCCAAAAACAAAAAATCGAAATTCAACTCAGATTTTAGAAGCAGGTTTGATACCTAAATAGCAACACATTTGAAGAATGACCCATACTAAAATATTAACTGATAAAAACAATTATTAAAAAAATAACAAAGGTCTTTATGAATAACTAACCATTTATGAATTTTCAACATTAAAATACAAACCTTTTTTCCTCTCGAAGTAATGGGCCTCCTAAAGTTGATGTGGATGACTTCTTTTCCTTCATTATCTACTGTGACAGCGACTCGTTTTAGGGTCTTGTTACCACAATTCGGACAGAAAACTTTGTCCATAAGAGAAGTTGTTTTAAAACAGGCATAACAACGGAGAATGAATGTTCGAACCTGTCTGATCAGCAGGCCTTCAAGTGTAACAACGCTCAAACCCATCTGTTTCAATACGTTCTGGAAAAAGAAAAGGTAAGATTAATAACATAATAGAAAATAACAATAAAATAATTGAGTTCAAGCTTCAAGCAATACATTCCATAATTGAGCCATGAATATAGAAAATTAATTTTATAAGAGATCTTTAAAGGCCAGGAAAAATTAAATAAAAGCAATTTACTGAGATTTTTTAAAAATAATATTAACAATTATTATCAGCCTTAGGAAATGGTTAAAGAAATTTAGTAATTGCATCTTGTTTAGACACGTTTAAAAAGTTTTTCAATTTGGATTGATATTGATAGACCGTGGTGATAGCGCACACATGGGTATTAACCATCCTTATATTCATCACCAGGTTCTTTAAAATGTGCATAGAAATCTCATGAATTAAGGCACTAAGTGTCGAAATTAATTTTCCTAAGTCTTTACTCAAATTATAATTTGTGTAAGCAGAAGAGACCATGCTTTTCACTCAAAATTATTGTGGAGAATGACAAGTTAAAACAACAACAAAATAAAACTAAACAAAAGATTTAATATTGATTATGTGACCTCACCTTTTATCAAAAGTCATAAAGCTTTGTTTAATCCAAAGATGTTTGATCAAAGAACTTTTGGCCAAGAGGCAATGAGACTTTTTTGTTTATAAATTATCTAATACTTGTCAGTTTTAAAGCAGCGATCTCATAAATTTTTGGCCCACAGGCCACATTGAGACCTACACCAAGTCCTGTGGGCCGGATTAAGACCTCCCATTAGGTACCACAGGCCATGGCTTGCAATGAAAATAAAAAATCTTATTTTATAAAAACTGCTTCAGTTGTTAAAAGTTTTTTTAAAGAGAAACAAATCATGCAATAAATGGTGTAGCAAACTCTTGTTTGAGTGATATATTGAATTTCATATTGAATTCAAACTGTTAAGAAACTTCGGGCAAAAGCATCAACCATATAATAAAATGTTTCCCACTATCACGATAATCCCATGAAATTTTACCCCACCAACAAAAATCTTGGAATAACCTTCGATCAAACGCTTTCCTGGAAAAATCATGTATCCAATATTTCCCGACGTACCATTTCCACTCTAAAATGTCTAAATTATTATCATCACCTATTTCCATTTGAAACCTGTAGGCTCCTAGTCACCTCCTTAATTTTCCCCCACTTTGACTATTGCTGTACGGTATGTGGGGGCGTCTCTGGGGATCTCGAGGCGAAACTAAAACGTTTGATAAATTGCACAATTAAATAAAGAGTATTATAATTTACCTGAATGGCAAAATCGGTTGAAAGACAGGCAACTTTTGGTGGAGGACTGTCTTCTGAGAGTTCCGCAGCACCTGAAAGCTCCCTCTTGGCATCGGCAACATTTCCAGGTGTGATCCAATCATCATCATCTAGAGGTGGGTCACTGTCATACTCTTCTTCTTCTTCGTCTTCTTCTTCCTCTTCTTCATTGTCACTCCCATTACATTCCAGGGACCCTAATTTCTTTGTTACTTCATCTATATCTGGAACTTCCTGTTCACTCCCAGAATCCTGGGTCATTAGAATTCATGACTAAATTTCACAGGATATGTTTATATAAATTTATTTAAAGAATAATCAATAAAAATAAATAACTTACAGATGATGGCAAGTGGAATCCGACAACATTTGCAGATGAAATCAAAGAATGATCAAATGCTTCTATAGATTTATTTGTAGTTGGTTCAGTTTTAATCCCATCTAAACCTAATTTTTCTTTGTGTAATTGGTACGTAAGAGCAAGTACTTTAAGATCAGTAGATGACAATGCAGGGTAATCACCAGTTTTCATAGAAAACGCTTTGACTAGAAAAGAAAAAAAAAATACATTTGATAGAATAAAATATATTCATTAAACAAAGGATTTAAAACTCTGTTACAATAAAATTTTATTGTAATAAAATAAAAAATAAATTTATGGAATACTTATTAGAGTTTTGTAATATCAAGTGCTAGAAGAAATATATAGCCCATGAAAATAATAACATGAACATAAAACGATCAACAGAGTTGAACAGCTGTCATGCTTTACTTATTCCCTTTCATGATTTGAGAGCACCAATATTAAGATTGATATTAACTACATAATATATATATATTTGTGTAAAGGGTGAGAGAAATTAAGAGGAAATGGTAGAAGACAGATTTTGCTCTTCTGCATTAACTCACCAATGTTCAAAACATTCATAATTCCATGGTTAATATTGGGTAAAGATTATCTGAAGTGAGATAGCTCTCTCTAGAATAGAGATATTCCCTGTTGGTGCTGGCCAATTCTTTATTGAATAAACCTTTATTAATCTCCTAAAATAAATTATGACGGTATTACAACCAATGATGTATAAGTAGCTTCACCTGTGTGTGTGTGAATGTGTTGAATAAGACCCTCTCGATACTACATAGTTAATGCAAATGAACATGTTTTTCTAATATCACTTAAAATGTATTGGGGAGAAAAAGAATATATACCTGACGGGATAAATTCAGCTTGGGCATGGTAGAAATGTTATATTTTAACATACTTTAGTTGCAAAAAATTTAATGAAATATGCACTTCCACGTTTCACGTTTTAATATTAAAAAGAAGAATAGAAGCCGATTTTGACCAAAAAGTTGCTGTAACATCCCTAGCATATAAAAATCTTAAATATACAATTTCGCTTTCCTACGACTTTTCGTTTTGGAGCTAGATTGGTTAACACACACAGATCATTTTGCAGGACTTGGTTATTTGGACTCAGGGAACCTCTACCAGTGTACTTCCGTTCAAAATTCAAATCCGAAAATTTCCACAATCACAATATTTTCCCTTACTATATATTTCATATATAGGTAAGTGAAAATTAGAGGAATCAAAAAAAGAGTGAGACTAATAGAAAAAAAAAAAAGAATCAAAATAGTTAAACTCACCAGCGGCAACACTTTCAGGATCTACATCTTTTAATTGTAATTCATAAGGAAGTACTACAAGCCTCCTAAGTTGCCTTTTAGATTTGATTTCATTAACAACTTCAGCAACAGTGAACAGATTTTCTGCAATCTCCTAAAATCAAAATAAACATTGGAGATTTTAATATTTCTAATATTGAGAAAATACTATTTCGAGGTCAACAGTTGTATAGGAAAGTGAAGGGGCCAAGATCATGCTCATGATTTTCCCTTTCATTAATTAATTAATTAATTGAGTATCCAGTTAGAGGGTAGGTATGCCTTAGGAAGGTCTCCTGAACCTAGGATTGATCCATGGATGATGTAACAGTATAATTACCTACCATTCTCGAACCAGATACTTTGAGGATTGGAAGTCAGTGCTTAACTCAAAGAGCTATCCTGCTCTCCTTATTGAAAGCAAAATATAATAAAAAAAAATTGTTGGTGCCATGAAATTCTGCAGCTAAAATGAAAATCTATTGAACGATCATTAATAGTGATGGCAAGAATATATAACAAGTAGATTTACCTCATTTTTCAAAGTTCCTATCAACCAATTTACCTCTAGACTAATAGTAAGGTCTTTACTAATTTAAGCATGAGTAAACCTAGATATAATTTCAATCCTGATTCTAGTACTAGTATATGAACAGAATATTAAATACGTTTTCTAAAGATTTTGTAATAAATAATTATTTTGACAGAGTTAATGATGGCGAGAGTTAAAGAAGAAGCAATAGGCATCATTTTTTCACAAAAAGAAATGAATCTAATTGAAATTTCAAGAAGTTACAGTCAGAAGACTATCTCCAGAGCAGACTCTACTACATTGAAATAACTAAACCAGCCACTTGCTCACTGTTTTGACTTGGTTCCAGTCAACCTGTTCTAAATTACAGAAAGTTTGAACCACTGTTAAGATTGAGGGTGAAGAATATTGGTCAGCTAGATGTTGCTAGACAGAAACAATGGATCATGCACATAGAACACAATGTGTACCCGTGACCTGTAATTCTTTAGAAAATAGCACTGTTTGAATGCAATAGAAAAATTATAGTAATACAACTAAATATTAATAAAAGGAAGATTTCATATTCCAGATAATATAGTTATAATCACCAAATTGATGGAAGGAATAGTTATGAAATATTATGCAGATTTTGAAAAAAAAATTAGGTAAATGACAAGAGTTGTAATATTTATTCATTTTTAAATATTTGTTCAAAGATGGTTAAATCTTTGAATTTTCAGCCTGAGAATGGGTATCTGTAACAGTCCCAAAAGTTTTTATAAGTATAAAGAATGGTCCAGAATAATAGATCAAATTTTGTAAAATTAATATATGGGATTATTTGGCATAAGTTTTTAAATCTTCAAGACAAATTTAATAATCTTCATATGTGATTTCCAAATTATACATAAAATTACTGACAGAATCCAGATTTCAACATTCCTATTATTTCTATTGTCTATAGAGAAGTAAAGTACCCATAGACAAGGCTAATATATTGCAAGAGTAAATTCTCAGTTTAATGGGAAAAGTCATTAAGTAAAACTTTATAAAATTTAATCACTAAGTAATTTGATTTTTTTTCTCAGTGAAATAAGAACAGTTTTTTGTACCTGTGTTTATTTATATATGGTGTATGAAAAAATAAATAACAGTTACTCTCCCAAAAATAATATTCTATTATTATTATTATTATGACGTTCATGATTATTATGAGATACACTTTATTATCCCATCTTCAGACCGTTCATCATCTAATTTATTATACGACGTCATAAATCTTATAATTATAAATTATCCTTTAAATGTATAGTGGACTCTTCTCAAGGGAGAGCTGTCAAACACTGTTTTTTTTTTCATTGTTTGACTAGGCTCTCCCTAGAGAAGAGTCTACTAAATATTTGAGAGATAATTTATAATAATAAAATTTACGACAAGTCTTTTAATAAATTACATGATGTAAAGATGATAAATGGTCTGAAGGCGGGATATTAAAGTGCATCCCTAAACGTCATAATAATAAAAGAAAATTGTTGGGAGAGTAATTGTTACTTAGTTTTTCATACACCTTAATAACATTACAAGCAAAACTTCAAATCAGAAAGAACAACTGAAAATTTGGAATTTTAAGTATTGATATGCTTGCACAAGAAAAATGAATTTGAACAAAATAATGGGAAATTTTAAATTTCAAAATTCATTGTCGTCTATACCAATTAAAATATCCTAGATTGGAATGTCATAAATAAGTTAAAGTGGTTTAATAAACTTTTCTTTTCTATATAAATATGTATAAATACTCTAAATTAAAACTTTGAGGAAAACATAAGATACTATATTTTTTTAGAAAACAATAATAATGTTAGGATTATAACAAAAGTAATAAGTAAATGCAACAAAACTGATGAATGACAAGATATCACATTCTATGTCATGAACATTCACATTGTACAACAAAATATATTTCAAATAAAAGCAATCTGAGAAAAACAAATTGACAATAAAAGTGGTAAAAATAATTACCTGAAGCTGAGTATTTCTTATGAAAGCACTAGTATCCACAACCAAATGTTCTACCTTGGGTGTCATTATTAAATATTTAACTCCAGTAAGAGGCCATGCAGTAAATAGGCCTTTCGAGCATTGATGAACAAGTCAACAGCAGAGCATAGAGGTAGGAATCTTCCAAGAAAATGAAATTATAAATGTAGATGAAGTTAAACTCTCCTAGTTCGTCACATTCACAAACTTTCGAAAACTTCTTTGGAAGAAAAAATTTCTTATTTTCTTGTTAGTATTAAATATTTAATTAAAAAATTCATAATTAAGTTAAAAAAGAAATATTATAGCAATTAATAGAATTTCCCAAATAAAAATTGAATATAGATATATGCAATAACCAATTGAAAAGAAACGCATTATTTTGGGTAAACACTTAACTATATTTTTTTAAATTCCACTGTTCATATATTCATAATACATTTTTGCTCCATTTTGGGCATATGGACCAGCACATGGGTTCCCAACCTAGAGCTCGTGGGCACCATTGTGCCCGAGTGACGTCACTCATGCCCAAACTTGTGGCCGTGAAAAACTTGTACTTGACCGCATATCTCTAACCTTTATCGGAGATAACCCTTATATACTATTATATATCCCCAAGGCCAGTAAAACTACCAGGTTCGCTCACTCAGAAATGCGTGGTGGGGGAACTTGAAACGTGACGTAAGGAATAGACTGCGAGACCTACCTATTACTCTTTCAAGCCTATCAATGAAGGCTTATTTCAACATTATTGTGCTTTTTTTTTTTGGTTTTCTAGTTTAATTTATTGAGAAGAATACTTTTCTGTGTTTTTGACGTTTGATTGAAGATAATTTCAAACAGATAAATAAATAAATACGGCTATCAATCTAGAATAAAATGCCATAAAGATGATAGGCCAGAACTGAAACGAAAAGAACGAAATTAATATTAAGATTATTTTTGAATTCTTTATTTCAAAATCTCTGTAAATAATATACAAATATATTACATAAATATAAAAAACTAAGATTTATATATATTTAGAGAACATTTTAGCACAATGTTTGTGTAATTTTGTTTGTAGGTCTCGTGGGTATTTCTTTTAGTATTATAACGATATTATAATAATATTATAAGGGTGAAGATCTTTGTCAGGATTTGCAGCAAAAATTTCTTTAAATAAATAAATTTAATTAAAAAAATAAACAAATTTTACTGCAAATCCTGATAATTTATTTTCACCTTATAATCTTAACAGTCAATTACTTATCCGTCTCTAAAATAATATTATAACGAGTCTTTTTTTTTTACTTTTAATAACATGTTACAGTGAATTCGTTTATTCTTATTAGTATTTCTTGTATTTCTCATAATAACATAATTATTAATAGAATCCTATAGAATGCCACGTACAAAATGCGCAGTTGCATCTTGCAAGAATAATCTAATTGACACAAAGAAGATGGGAAAGAAAATTCCATTTCATACTTTTCCAAAGGACACTCGAAGAAAAGATTGAATTTTAAAATGTACATGTAAAAATATTGTAAAAAAATTTACTATATTTTTCTTAGGAAAATAAATGTAGAAATTAATGAAGAAAGCCTTTCTAATAGAATCAAATTTTTAAATACCCAATGATTTTTACAACAATTAAGAAAAAATAAAATCAAAGCCAAAAAAAAATTGAGATAAATCACTAGATAGATTACTTATTATATAAAAATTTAATATTCACAAAAATTCACGGAAAGAAAACATTTCTTTAATGTTAGATTAAACACTTTTTCTTTTTTTTTTTCAATATTTTCATTATTTTATATTATGCTCTGTATTTATTTGAAATATTTAAAAAGTAGTATTGTGGTACTTTGCAAAAAATCATACAACTTGTTAAATTACATTTTATTTGCTTCGGAATGAACCAAATATCAAATCAACCTTTCTCTCACCTTTCAAATCAATAAATTAATAAGTTATTTGGCAATACCGTATTAATTGAATTTATAAAAGTAAATAATAATCTTAAAATGTCCAGAAACAAAGGCCGGAGGGGTAAACTTAGTCTTTTGGCTACGTCATAGCTCAATTCCTCGCCGCCATTTTCCCTCTGAGTGAGCGAACCTGGTAGTTTTACTGACCTTGATATATCCCTAGATATATTATGATATTATATACCTAGATTATACCTAGTTATAACCCATTTTAATTCTAATTTAAAAATGTGTAACTATATTATAAAAACACTTTATAAACTTAATAACATTCATTAACCTTGATGTTGTTTGCCTTTTGTATAGAAATATTTTTCATTAGTTTTGGAAATATATTTATTTTTTAAACTTACCTATTCAGAATTATTACAATCTGTCACAATTAAGGACATTTATAATAGTGTTCAGATAGCACATTCACACTCTATTTATAATAAATATAAATAAATAATACAGAAAAATAATAATACTAAAAGTAAATCTATATAAACAAAAGAACTAATCAAAACATCAACTGAAATACGAGCATACTTTTATACAATATTTACAGAATCCAATTGCTCACAAGACAAGCTTCTCTCCCCACTCGTGGAAGGAAAGACGGAACTTTAGGTCCCAAGCACCTCTTACTCAGTCGCATTACTGGTATTAGGAAACAGTAGAGGCTGAGCAGAGGCTCAATAATCACACGTACATGGCTTGAGTGGAGGATCTGGCCATTGCCAAAACTCCAATATATGCTTATTCGCAAAAGATATCTGGGACACTGTCTCTTCAACCTTCGAGGAGGATTTTAGGGATGGGTGGAGCTAGAAATGGATTTTGCAAGAGGATTTGGATGAATTGTAAGGTTCTGATGAAATTTTGAGATTTTTTTCCAGGATAAGGTCTAGGATAAATGGAATACTAAGGTCATTATGTAGGGTTTTGTTGGTTACATAGAACGGAGCATCAACTATTGTTCGAAGGACTTCAGATTGAAAGGATTGGATGCGTTTGATGTTAGAAAACTTTGCGGTCCCCCACAGTTCAAGTCCGTATGTCCATATAAGTTTCAGGATTGTCTTTTAGATATGTAATTTGTTTTCAATAGAAAGTTTAGATTTTCTATTCAATAGTCTGTATAGTTGGACGTATCGATGGCTGAGTTCTTGTCTTTTGAATCTGGTATGCGGGTTTCATTATGGTCTTCGGTCTAAAAGAATGTCAAGATATCTTTGAAAAAGGAAGCTGGATGGAATTAAAGTGTACTGGTGGACAGGAGTTGCGTCGGAGACTAAAGGTAATGTGTTGGAATTTTGATTGATTCACTTTAATACGCCACTTATTACACCAGTACTCAATCAAGGAGAGATGCTTTTAAAGATTTGAGGACGCTATTTCGGGAACAGAGTTGGATGATAAGATTGTGGTGTCATCAGCGAATGTTGCGAGAAAGTTATCGAGATGAACAGGGACGTCAGTTATAAATTGACTGTAAAGTACGAGACCCAAGACGTTGCCTTGGGGAAAGCTAATTTGATTGGATGAATACCGGAAAAGGCTCTTCTACAGCGAACTCGAAAAGAGTAGTCGGAGAGGTAGGATCGGAGAATTAGGTATAAGGACTGAGGGAGGTGGATTTTAAGCTTGAGGAGCAGCCCGGGGTTGAAAAACGCTATCAAAAACCTACTCTATGTCCAGAAATGTACCAGAACAGTATTGCTTGTTTTCTAGAGCTCCTTAAATACGATAAACATTTTTTATGTCACTATGATACAATTCTTATCTGATGAATTAATCCATAAGGTGGATTGTTTATCATGTTCGTAATATGCCAACATCTATATCTGTTAACTCTTGTTGAAACCAGCTTAGTATTGTGTTTGCTATTGCACTGTGAATATGGAAGAAAATGTCATTCATTATCGGCATATTTTGTTGTATTATTTTAAAAAAGATAAGTGTGCTGCAGGATCTCATAGAAAAATTTACAGTGTTTATGGAAATGATGCCCTAACCGAACGCACCTCCCAAAATTGGTTTGCCAAATTTTATTCGGGAAATTTTGATATCAATGATGCTCAATGACCTGGTCGCCGACATGGAATTGAAATGAGCAATGTTAAGGCCATTGTTGATCAAAATCCCATCCAATCAGTGCGAGAGATTGCTATGGCACTAAATGTGTCGGATACAAGCGTAGAAAACCATTTTCACAAGCTCGACTATTGATCCAGACTTAATGTTTGGGTAGCTCACATGATTGTTTTTCGAAAATCACAAAAAAATGTTAGAACTTCAATACAACTTCAGCTATCTACAAGAAATTTAGAAGGAATTTAGGGCTACATAAACTACAACAAATCAACAGGACCTTTGTTTACAACCTAAGAATGGAGATAAAAAATAAAAATCTATAAGGAGTTTTTATTTATTTATCCCTCATGTAGGAATTAAATAAACAAAAAACACACTCATACGGCTCATATGGAGAACATCCTGAAGAGTTATGAATGATCGGAAGGGTGTTGTGTTTCACTAAGTGCCTCACATTTCATAGGTCACTCGCCATCAATTATTGAGCCTTCGGTGGGACCTTTTTCCCCATCCTCTCTATTTATCAGACCTAGCTCTAATTGAATACCATTTATTCCGGTCTCTGCAGAACTCCATGAATGGAAAGAAATTCCAAAAGGAATTGGAGGTCACAAACCACTTGTATCAGTTTTTTAACAACAACAAACTCCAGACTTCTATAAACTAGGCATTATGCAGATAGTGGAAAGATGGGAAAAAGTCATATTAAATTATGGTCAATATATTGTAGATTAATATAAAATGTATGTACATAATATATTGAGTTCTATTTTTCCCTAAAAAACTGAAAGAACTTATTTGTCAACCCAATAATAAATAGGATTTATGTTATTGTAATGACCTTAATGAGTTGTTACAGATTATCTGTAAGGATTAAGGTTCAGCTCCGTTACAAACGCACGTAAAAAAACTTTGTTACAGCCAATATTGCTGGAAAATAATAACTATTCTGCTATGTATAAAGTACAGCAGGTATTGGCAAACTTAAAT